GCAAGGTGTGGATTATAGTGGGTGTGGCTTATAGTGGCTGTGGTTTGCAGCAAGGTGTGGATTATAGTGGGTGTGGCTTATAGTGGGTGTGGTTAGCAGGAGGGTGTGGCTTAAGGTGGGTGTGGTTCATGATGGGTGTGGCTTATAGTGGGTGTGGTTTGCAGCAGGGTGTAGCATATTGTGGGTGTGCTTTGCGGCAAGGTGTGGTTTAAAGTGGGTGTGGTTTCTTATGGGTGTGTCTTAAAGTGGGTGTTTGTTTTATTGGGCACAATTTATGGGGTACCATTTCTAAAAAAGGGTGTGGATAATACTTGAACATGCTGTACATTTGGGGTATAGCCACTGCATGCCACGAAGGAGATAAATGAACAGGTTTTTCCTTTTTATTTTCAGATTGAAAACCCAAGGTATTTGCGTGAGACCCCAATCCCCCTTTCGCCAGTAAGTATGGAGCCGCACCGTGGCTGGTGACTTGCGGGCAGCTGGGCGTATCAAGATCAATTTTTTGGCTACTTATTTAGATTTTGTCCATCTACAGATTTACCTGAAGTCCAGCCTAGGGAAAAATGGCACCTTCTGTGATGACACACCCCGGGCTCACACACATGAGAGAGAGGTAGGCATTGGAAATCTGGCCTCAGCTGTGTGGGGCTTCGGGCAGTGTGGGACTCGCCCAGTGCGATCGCTCGCTGGATGCACACATGGAGGAATGAGAGTGTCGCTTTAGACTGATTCGGCTGTGCAAGGCTCCCGCCCCTGGAACCTTCATGGCCTGTTTTCCTGTCAGCATAAGTAAAACCTGACTCAGCATGCCCAGTAAAACTGGAATTTGGTGTGTGTTCTCACTGGTTCAAAGCGGAAGAGCTACGGGCCCACGCTGACGTGGGGTGGGGGAGGGGCTGGTGCACATTTCTGTCGGAATGCACTCCAGGACACCGGCTTCTCTTGTCTGTGCGGGTGTCGCCAGGTGATGCAGAACCCTGTGGGGCGGAACCCGGCCATTGACCCACCCTGCGGAACACCAGCAATCTTTTAGGTTCTCCACACTGTTACAGTACAGTTAGAACCCGGGTTCCCACTCTAGGACACACCTTACTTCTACTGGCACAGTTTTCACATGCCATTAGGAATTAAATTCAGGAACGCTTGCAACTTTAGAAAAAAACAATTTCCGCCGCAAGTTCCCAGTGTGGGTGTTTGTCGGATTTTCCCATCCTGACCGAGCCAGTTAAACACAGCGCATGACTTGGCATAATCACCGTTCGATTTAAGTCCCTTTGAGGGTGTGTTGAGCTCAGTTCAGCAGGAGGGCAGGCCTTTACTCATCCTGACTCAAGGATAATGCTGACGTTGCATCACAGAACGGTGGGGCGCTTGATTTTAATTATTCTCTTGAAGTTTAATAGTCGTCTAGTGTGAAGGAGGAGTGCTGAGTGAGGGCGAGTGACAGATGATGAAAGAGCCGACTTGTCTCGCTCATAGTTTTGGGGTGTTGGCGGTAGGGTGGGGTGCTGCCATGCCGCCCTCCCCCATCCTCCTCTCCCTCAGGTAGAAAAGCCCAATTTCTCCCCATGATATCCAAGGATTCTTACTTATGTCCTTCAACCTTTTACGTATCGCATAACGCATTTTGTCTCGGGGCAGCTCTGCTCTTCCCACGATGGGTGTCTGACTCTGTAGTCTTGCACTTCATTTGTGTTTTTTTTTTTAAATGTTTTTATTAATTTGCTGGTTAAAACAAGGGTCTGAGCTTTCAAATGAATGCCTTTGGTCAGAGTCACCAAATAAGAAGGGAATCTGCTTTACGTTGTCTGAGTGTTTTTGTTTGCAAATCCAGTTTGTTTGTCCGTGGTTGGAGTTTCAGACACGTGGGACATGTTGGGCATCTCCTGACTCTCAGGATTAAAACTAGACCATGTTCGGGCATGTTATATGGGTGTATATACATGCCTTTTATTTTAGGATGGTCAGATCGCTCATGCTAAAGAAAGAGCCTGCAGGTTAAGGGGATTTATTAAGCTCCAGATCAGGAGAACATGCTGTAAAATGAGCATATGTGAGGCCATGACTATATGGAGGTGATGTAATGAAAGGTCAAAGTAATAAACGAAGGGCTTAACCTGAACTAGTAATTTTGAGCAGAAAATCACCGAAATAGAACAGAGATTCCTTATTATCAATCCCCATCTTGCTCTCCACGAGAGACATAGACACACATTCAGGTGAGAGCAAACTTGGAGTATCAGCGCAGGGTCAGACAGCGGGCGGCGCCCCCTAGAGCTGGGGGTTAAGGGCCACGCTTAAGGGCCCCTGGACATGTGACTGTTCTTCCGAGGCCAGGGCTCGAACCCGCCACCTTCCAGTCATGGGCAAAGAGAGGCTTCATCCCCGTGAGCAGAGAGGAGGGGTTCTGTTCTCGCTGTCCCTGCTGTCTTTGCTGCCGTGAGACCTCTTTCGGTGTGCGGGGCTGACTCGCTCGGTCCCCCGCAGGCTGACATGAAGGCCAAGATGCTGGAGGTCTATCATCAGGAAGAGAAGCTGAAGATGCAGCAAAAGCATGACTCGGACGTGCAGAAGGTGCCAGCCGCCTCGCCCGCAGACCTGCACCCGACCCCAAGCGTGTTCTCCGCCGTGGCATTGTTACCCCCAGTAGCATCCACACTTTTCTCTGTCTTCAAGGCTCCCCTCAAGTTATTCTCCCTGGGTACAATCAGCACTAGCTGGGTACATTCAGCACTAGCTGGGTACAAGCAGCACTAGCTGGGTACAAGCAGCACTAGCTGGGTACATTCAGCACTAGCTGGGTACAATCAGCACTAGCTCAGCTTTATGGGCCTGAAGACAGTTACCCCAGCAGGCGTGATTAAAAACAAGCAGATGAGGTTAGAACTGGTGAGGAGATCTGTAAGTAAATTCAGCATGCGGAGCTCCTGCATGCAGCCCCGTTTGCCAACGGCATCCCTTAAAAGCCGGCTACCGCCCCCCCCCAGAGTGTAGTGTCCTTGGACCTTGCCTTCGATTCGCAATTTTAACTCACCATGACCAAAATGCAAGATGGCAAAATTGTCTGTTCCCCCCCCCCCCCCTTAGCCAATTAACTTCCCTTTTACCCCTTCGCAGTGCCTTTCATCTTGGAACAGAGTGCACCTCTGATCAGGCTGTGAAAAAAGCTTCCCTGTGCTCTGTCCTTTGACTCTGTGGGGGGGGAGGGGGGGCGAGAAACCAGTACTCTGTTCTGAAGTTTGTTAAAGTCCAGCTTTTCTCTTCTCCTGTTCCATTGATGTCTTAGTTCTGCTGGTGACCAGGAAGGTCTTATCAGTACGTATGTGACATTAGATATTTGATTGATGGGTAGCCGTCTTTGTAGGAAAGACCGTTTATCCTGCTTGAAATCGAAATGTGTTCAAAGCGACTCCGTCTTTATACACATGCATTATGTGATTATTTGTCTATTTCTTTTTTCGGTGTCCTGCTTCAGATTTTGGACCGGAAGAATGGTGAGATTGAGGAGCTGAAGACCATGTACAGGAGCAAACTGAAGGACTCTGAGGAGATGATTCACAAGCTAGAGAAGAAAGGTGAGAGGTCCTGCCCGGAGCAGACTGTGCGCTGTCATTACGACACTGTTGACCGAGGTTAGGCTTTGGGCATGGAATCGGCCCGGTAATATCCTGCCTCCACGTCAGCCGTACCGGACTTTCAGTCTCGCCAGTGGTTTGTTCACAGCACACAGAGCAGCAGTGCAGCTTGAGGCAGCGTCCTGCTTGGGTTCCTTTCTTCTCCGCAGTCCAGAGCCTGGTACAGGAGTCGCAGGTCATCCGACAGAGCAAAGAGAAGCAAATCGCCGAGCTGAAGAAGATGTCTGAGCAGAGTGTGGAATCCCTAAGGAACGAATTAGAGAAGAAGGTACAGAGGTGCTGCGGAGGATGGTGTGGGATGGGAACGGCGTCTGTGGCGGTCATGTGATCAGGTGCCTCGCATAGGTGTACAGGCTGCAGCGAGCCCCATGGTGCACATGTCTGCCATGTCTACCCAGTTGCACGCGTCGGTGGCCGAGCTGGAGCAGGAGAAGATCGAGCTGCAGAAGAAGCACACCCAGAGCATCCAGGAGCTTCTGGAAGATACCAACCAGCGCCTGGCCAAGATGGAGTGCGAGTACGGTGTACAGATGCAGGCCACCGTGAGTACTGCCATGCCGGGGGGGGGTCGTTCCTGCATGGGCCGTCAGCGGAGCGCTGATTCCTTACTGAAGCTAAGTGGGTCTGTTCCCCAGCTGTTCGCTGGGACGCTTAGATCTCACAGAACTGAGATCTAGAAATGCTGTTTGAAGCCTCGGTTCTTTGGACTCCCAGGAGGGTGCGGTGGAACTTTGCACAGTGGTCAGGATTTAACTCGGAGCAAGACTTGTGGGTGCTGTGATTCCGATTGGTCGACTCGCGCAGAAATTACCGCAAAAACCGGTGCTCTGCCCATGTAAGGTAATGAGCGTACGTGCAGGTGTCGGCATGGCGACCCGGCTCCGTGGGACACGACCCGTTTGTGTACGTCTCTTCCCCTTGCAGGAATGTGTCTGCGTCCGTGAGCTCGGCGCTCCTTGAAGGCCGCAGAGATAAGGCCGTGGAGGCCTTTGATCTATAACCGCAGCGCTTTGATGCTGACTGCCGTAGCTGTCCTCGGCCAAAGAGCGATGGCTCGAGAGACAAACCAACGGCTCTGTCCGCCTCATCGCTGGGTCTCGCCAATGCAGTCGACACTTGCCTTCCCGATACGTGGACGTCCGGCGTCACGTTTGGAATCGCTGAGGCCCAGCTCAGGTTGGCATTGTATTCATGCCACAGAGCCCCACCTGTCCATCCGATCCAAAATCAAAAGCGTGATTAAAATTATACATTTTCCCGCCATTTCTGTCTTCACCTTCTGACCGTCAGCAGGTGCTCAAGAGATGATGTTTCGAAGTTCTCAGCCTTATCCAAAACCAGATGCGCACTAGCTCAGATTCACTTTTTCGAGGGAACCGGTTTGTACTCTGCTTAAATAAACGCATACTCTAATGGTTTTTGTGTTTCCGGGTCTGTCTCAATGCATGCATCTGTCAGCAGCAACGATTTCTGCAATCTCAAGGGCTGTCATATCTTTGATCAGAAGCAGAACCGGTATGCTGTGTCTGGGACCTGCTCACTGCCATTGTTTGTTTTCATTAGCCGTGGAAAAGAGAAGTTCAGTTTTCAGCAACTCTGTCACTGCACTGACATCCCCTAATTTGACTACAGTGTCAAAATTCTCATGGGCAAGCATTTGGATGCAGCACATCCAGTGTTCATCAGAGCTGGAGGCTGACACTCTGCTGCACATTTTGCAGAATTGTTATTGTTACTGTCATTCTTGAGGCATTCGCCTCGGTATCTGAAGAAAATGGAAAAGTAACAAATACAAGAGTACAATCCAGAGTCTATAGCGATGGAATGCTGTGGAGATCATTCAAACAGTCTGGCTTCCTTGTTTTTTTTTTTTTTTGGCTTTAGAATTTGTGTTGTGTGTTGAACAAATGATTCGCAACGACATCAAAGACGGCCTTTCAGAAGGGAACATCAGATAAAATCTTAAAAGCCTACAAAGCAGGGCTGAACGCTGCTTGAAACTGGAATTGGAGGCGAGCTTTGAGGTTCAGATGCCGGCACGTGTGTCTCCTTGCTAGCTGCGCGGAGCTATTTCAGTCCGTTTTGTTTCCCCTTCCTAAAATCGAGACGCGTTATTATAAGTGGGCTTGTCAGAACTTTACCTGCGAACTTCTTCTGAAGCCTACCAGTTTCCTTTAATGCTAATCACAGTCGCGCAAATAGAGAAGGTTCCTGATTTGTCCCTCTTAGAGCTTTGTACAGTGCTGCAGTACTTCTGCTTAAATGGTGCCAGAGCACAGACGTCGCTTCCATGAACAATGAGAGATGCAGGTGTATGTCAGCCTCAGTGATGCCTAAAGCCGCATCCATAATTTCCTTACTCCAAGAGTATCAGAAGTCAGCTCTGGACTCACTCTGGATTTACATGCCTGTCATTGGAACCTGTGGTGGCATTTGGAAAACACAGTAAGGAGTGAATGCTTTGTGATTACTTCTCTGAATTCTACTTTCCCACCCCACTCCTCTGGCATCCCTAGACAGTCCACGTTTTTGCTCCCTCCCAGCTCCCAGAAACAGAGACAATGCTGCAGTTCTATTAAATGAGGTTAAATTCTGTAAAATATTCTGTTGATTTATGGGTGAAATTGTAGAGGCCTCTGGAAACACAAACTGTCCTTGACCAATCTCTGATGAAGGTTTCTGAACCGTCCCTGTGAAAGTCACTTAATCGTTGACCCTGACTGGATGGAGGCGTTAAGGTGCCTCTGTTTGCCCTCAGGAGAAGGTGGCGAAGGAGCTGGAGGCGCGGGTGAAGCAGCTGTCCATAGAGGTGGAGCACAGCAACAGTCTACGTCAGAGAGTAGCCCAGGAGAAGGTTGAGCTGGAGCTGCAGGTTGCTGCCATCAAGTCGGAGTTACAAGAGACCAACCGGAGGTGAGTTTGAGGCGTGCTCTCCCTCAGGTCCTCTCTCCTGTGATTCCCTCTTACTGTTCTCTCTTAGGGCTTTCCTGCTCTCCCTCGGGTCCTCTCTTGTTATTCCCTCTCTTCATGTTCTCCCCCAGGGTTTCCCTGCTCTCCCTCAGGTCCTCTCCTGTAATTCCCCCACTTCGTGTTCCCCCCTGGGGCTTCCCTACTCTCCCTCAGGTCCTCTCCTATAATTCCCCTCTTCATGTTCTCCCCTGGAGATTCCCTGCTCTCCCTCAGGTCCTCTCCTATAATTCCCCTCTTCATGTTATCCCCTGGGGATTCCCTGCTCTCCCTCAGGTCCTCTCCTCTCATGTAATTCCCCTCTTCATGTTCTCCCCTGGGGATTCCCTGCTCTCCCTCAAGTCTTCTACTCTCCTGTAATTCTCTCTCCTCGTGGTCTCTCCTAGAGCTTCCTTGCTCTCCCTCAGGTCCTCTCCTGTGATCCCACCTCCCCCCTTGTTCCCTTACAGAACTTCCCTGCTCTCCTGCAGGTCTTCTCCTCTCCCTCCCTCTTTCAGCTCCAAGTTCTCACTTGAAACAGTCGAATCAATCTAATGAATAACCCCCTTCGCCCGAGCTTGTGGGCTGAGCAGGAAGTGAGCGTGTCTCTGGGCTCCAGGTGTGCAGCCGTGGTCCACGACAAGGAGGAGCTCAGTAAGCGGCACGCGCAGTCGCTGCAGGAGGTGCAGGCCCAGCACGACTCGGCCATGCGCCGTTGCCAGCAGGAGAAGCTGCTCTCCTCCGCCAAGGTAGTGAGCTCCAGAAATACCGGCCGTCTCCGTCAAAGCAGGGCGAGTCGAAAAGCATCACACGCATGTTCTTACCGGATCGCCATCCTGCCAGCCTGACAGGGCCTTACAGGAATAGGCTCAGCTCATATCTTCAGCTGCTTCCAGTTAATAGAGCATCAGAAAACGCCCACCACCACCCCCCCCCCCGCAAGCACAAGGCATGTGGGTGTGTGTGGGATCCACAGCACACTGACTCAGTCGTTATCAAGCTTTGACCTGAATAGGGGATGAGTGACAGGCTTTGCAAGTCTGCAGCCGGCTCGTGGAAGCCGATTGGCTGCAAGCAAGAAACCCTATTTGACTGATGTTATAATTTACATATAATTGTGCAACATCTCAGTTTCAGTGCAGCCTCACACAGTGGGGTCACTAAATGGGATGGAGGTGGGGGCTGCTCTGTCTCGTACCTCTCAGCGCTATTTCACATAAAACGAGACCATAACTGGATGGTGCTTGCAGGCGTCCAAAGTCACGGAGGAGCTGGAGCAGTGCGTCATTCGGCTGCGGGACAGCGAGCAGGCGCGGCAGGCGCGGCAGGAGCAGCTCCGGGTGAGCCCACTGCCAGGGCCTTCGGGTCGCACGCCTGTGCCGTTCCGGATGCCCACATAGACTGCATCCCCATGTATTACCCGCGACATCGGGGCAGTTATGGGGCAGTTGTCTTTAAGCCGTCGTGTAGCATCAACATGCCAAAGGTTTGTTGCACTTTTCGATGTTTGTCTCAAGTGCCGGTTCCCTTCTAGGACCAAGAGAACGCATTTCTGCAGGAGAAGTCGGACTTTCAACAGGCCAGTGAGAAAAAAGTAAGATTCAGATGTTTATTCAGCTCTTTTTAACCCCCAGAACTAATTTTTCTCCTCTAAATCCTGAAGTTAAAAATGTGTTCTCAGGATGTCTGGGGTTTGTTACGCAGTATTTACTTTGAGTTTCTTGTGTTAATATTTGAGAGTTTTTTCTTCTAATAAAGCAGAACAAAGTTTGAGATAAAAGCATTTGCCCTTCACAAGCCCCAAGAGCTGCTCCCCCCCCCTGACAGGCAGACTGCAGAACAGGTGTTTCGCTCCATTGGTGTTTGTGGTCAGATAAACAGGGCTGGGCAAAGTGGTTTCCTGGGCAGGGATGCCATTGCCCATTAAGATCAAACGGCAAGGGGCTACTTCACAGCTACGGCCCGTCATTAACCAGGGCCTGTAAGAGCCTAATGAATTGGCCCCGATCTGCCAAACCAGGAGAAGGTGTGCAGCTGCCTTTAATAGTGCAGGTGAATGTCGGGGCCGGCTTGTAAAGGCCGTCGTCCACACGTGTGCAGGCAGAGTCCGCAGAAGCACAGGCGGCCACCCCCCCTCACTCCTGGCCAGATTTTACGGGCTCCACTGCAGATGGAGGGGGGGGGGGGGGGTCATGATTCGGTTCAGGGTAACGCCTGATCGCACACGCAGAACCCCTGGGGGTGCAAGGAGGAAAGCAGACGGAGGTGCCCCGGACAGGAGGAGCCCGAGACAAGAGGAGGCCAGACCAGGAGGTGCTGGCAGCCGACCTCGCTGCTTCTCCTAATGCCCTGCGGACGTTTTGTTCTACAGGTACAGTCACTGAAGTGCGAGATGGAGAGAGAGGTTGTGGAGGCCAAGAAGAAGATCTCCAAGCTGGAGGACGCCGTGAGGTGAAGATGTCCTCCAGACGAGAGAAGGGGGCTTTAATCCGCAGCCCCGCCCGCCATGCGGCTCGCACCCCCGACACTGTCTGGCCCTCCCTTCAAACATATGACAGGATTGGGTTTCCCCTTTGATGTCAACATGGCAACGACACAAAGAATCGCTAAAACCCAAACTTCTCTGAATCCCCTTGTGGCTCAGAGCGCCGGAGGAGATTAGCGTAGCATTGTGGAGAGCCCAGTATGTAAATAAGCTGATTAATAAATGACATGCCTTCACTGGGGCGGGGGGGGGGGGCGTCAGCGGTTTGTCTTCAGTGTGAAGCTCGACATGCCCCCCTTTTCCTTCGCCATCACTACATTACCCACAATCCCCAGTCACTCAGCCATTTCTTCTTCTGTAGTAAGACAGTATGGAATTGTTCATGAAATGTTTTACCACTCTCAATCCTAACCGTCTGTAGTCACATCAGCCAAGCCCCCCCCCAACCCCCACAGTCTGTTTGCTTCCCAGTTCCCAGGCTCTCCCTCACAGTCGTATGCATCACGTACCATAACATAATAATATAATATTGTTAGTGTCACACCTGCTCTGTCCTTGCTGATTGTTCTATTGAAAAGGTCTCACTTAACCCTTTCAGATGCGTTTTGCTTGTTCCCACTTGTTCCTCTTGGTGTTATTTATTTGAATGACTTTTCTGTTTTATTATTGTATATCTCTCGCTTGTGACTGGTCACTCACTGTAAGCCCAGCCTCATAGCACTTTGCTTCTTGGCAGCTCTACAGTTGTGATGTGTCATCTGACCCGGTCACACGTCACTCTGGACAAAAGCGTCTGCTGAATAAATGAACGTAACGCAGTACGCTGTCGTTTCGCACACGTAGCCACGTGTAAAACGTGTGTAATATACAGTAACGCACCTCCTCACGTGTGTAGCGTGTATGTAAAATGCTACGATGTGATACAGACGCGTGTAAAACGTGCGCATGTCTTATAGAACGACCCCCCCCATGAGTGTGGGTAATCTGTCAGGGGGAGTCGGCAGGTGAAAGGGTTCCCTCTCCTCTCCTGCTCACTTGGACTCTTTCTGCCCCGTCAGCTGTTCAGAGCCACTTGGGTAAACATTGGCTGGCTGCCCGCTCTCTGGCTCTTCGGCGTGAAAGCGAGGGTCCTCGCAGCTGTACTGCAGGGCTCCTCGGGCGTCCGCCTCTTTGCCTGCCTTTTCAGTTTTCCGGAAGGCACGAGCCTGGATCCCATACAGACAGATTCCTGTCTTTGAGCTTTGTAACACTTGTTTTTTTTCCTCCTTGCCCACTTTTCGGACTTCTGAAGCGCTTGTCGGGCCGGTGCGGTGTGCCTATTTCTGTGTGCGGTTCCTCCGGCCGCCGCTCTTTTCTTCTGCGCGTGTTCCTCCACGCCGCGGCTCCCTCTCTAGGGCCCTTTGTGTCTGCGGCCACCCCGGGGACAGGCATGTGCAGAGGCAGCCTAATAATTACAAAGGGCACAACGTTGGGGAAAACATTTTCTCCATCTTTGATGTGCGACATGAGAGAGACCAAAATTACAAAGAGAAAATGTGGTATAGAGAGAAAGGCCTTGCATGTTCCCTCCTTATTTAGTCCGACTGTATTTCCTGTTATTGTTGCTGGCTGTTTAGCAGAGCCATAAAAAGGCAATTAAATGGTGGGGAGTGCAGTTTTTTAATGGCTGCGCCCCCTGTTGCCCAACACTGTGTGTTACAGGGAGAAAGAGGAGCAGCTGTTGCAGGTGTGGGAGAGGCAGAGGCAGCAGGCCCTGCAGGCAGAGGAAGCCCTGGAGCAGCTGAAGAGGCAGGCGGAGCTGAGCTCGGAAAAGGCCTACGCGGACATGAGGCAGCAGGTTGGTGGGGGGCGGGGGGGTCGAGGGGGGGGTCAGGAGGGCCCACTGTGATGAACAGTCACCATGGAGAGCAAGCAACTCCCGTCAACGTGCCGCCCGTCAGATGGAGGAGGTGGAGGCCGACCTGGGCCGCTGCAGAGCGCTCCGAGAGAAGCAGGCCGGGGAGTTCGCCTGTCAGCAGGAGGAGCTCAAGCAGAGATACGACTCGCAGGTCTGTGTGTGTCTGTCTGTCTGTCTGTCTGTCTGTATAAGTGTGTGTGTGTGTGTGTGTGTCTGCATGTGCCTGTGTCTCGTCATAATTTGTGTCACCAGTCTGTCTGCTTCTGTCGGTCTCACTTTACTCTTCAAACAAAATCATCCATAAATTAACCCATCAGTGTATTTGCTCACTCATGCACTCTGTCATGTAACAAAATGACAGGTTCATTGGTAACAAGACAAGAACGTTTTCCCATTTTTTTTTTTTCCTCCCACGTATATCAAACTACCTTCATCTGGCCCCATCTGACAAAAGGTAGAGAAAGACTGATAATGATATCCAGGCCGGGGGCCTCAGCGCGGCCTTGAGCATGATGCCTGAACCTCAGCCATCGCTTCCTGTTACGGATCACTTCCTGTTACGGATCACTTCCTGTTCGGGGAGTTCAGGGCAGCGGATGTCTATCCAGGAGGTCGGTGTCAGCTTCCCCGTGCACCTCGGTGCTCTGTGGCACGGCACCGTTTCACCTGAAAGTTTATCTGCTGATCATCCTAACCAGATAATCCTGAGGATGGTCGGCATCCCTTTCATTTTAGGGTGTTCAGTAACAATCCTCTGTAGCTGGATTTGCTGCTGTTCTCCTTGCTTTGCCCATTCATCCCCGAAACCATGGCGGTGTCAGCTTCCCTCGAAGCCCTGTGCATGAATAACACGCCATCGTCTTGAAAATGTGTTGGTTACAGAGCATAAGGTGTTAAACTTCAGGTCCATTGGACAGTCGCTGACAAACCAGCTCAGTGTATTTTTGTTATGCGTAGATATACATGCCTGTGATGCATATGCGTGTTTACAAGCTACTCCTTGCCTGACCTGTCGTTGGTGGCTTGGGGGTGTTTGGCGTGGGGTTGGGGAGGGGCAGGGCTTTACCCCAACTGGAGGCTCTTTGGGCTGTTTGGAGAAGCGACTGCTGAGAGTGATGCCCCCCCCATCCATCTCAGAGAGCCCCATTGACCACCTGCCACCCTCAGCACGCAGCAGGTAGGGTGCCGCAGGCAACAATGGCGGGAGGATTAGCGTCAAAGGCCCGGCGAGGCGGCCCCCCCCTTCAGCCAGAGTCCCCCTCCCCGGGCCCGAGTCGCGTCGGCGTGCCTCGGCCTCGCTGTGCCTCGGCCTCGCTGTGCCTCGGCCTCGCTGTGCCTCGGCCTCGCTGTGCCTCGGCCTCGCTGTGCCGCCGTCACTGAGTCGCGGCCTCGCTGTGCCTCGGCCTCGCTGTGCCTCGGCCTCGCTGAGAGGAGAACAATACAGGTGAAGGACGAGGGTTTAGTAGACTTGTATATGGAGATGCATAAAGGATTCATTGGGAGAAGAATTCCGGTGGCATTCCTGCTCAGTAAGAGCGTAAAAGAGTGAATGAGGGTGGCCCTTGTTTGGGGGCAGAAAGCCTCCCCCCCATGCATGGTCTAAGGATACGGTACTGTGTGAAATATTAGATAGGGAAGCTTTGATGCCCTTTAGCAGTGATTGTTCTCTCTGCTGAAGTTTGACGAATCAACCAAAAGGAACTATTGGCGGAAAATTGTTCCGTCGTCATGTTATATTTTGGAGGGGGGGGGAGACCTGAACTTTATTCTGTGGGCAATGGGCAAGTTGTCATGACGACGGGGGGACGTTCTGCTGATGAAGTCTCGCTCTCCCCTCTACCCCCCTTCCCCCCCCCCCACGTCGTCCAATCAGATCGCGGAGCTGAAGCTGCAACGTGAGCAGGAGAGGACGCACCTCTTCCAGCAGCACAACGGCGAGAAGGACAGCCTGGTCCAGGACCACCAGCGGGAGATGGCCGACCTACAGGAGCGCTCCAAGGCAGCTATCCTGCAGCGTGAGGCGCAGACCCTGGAGTTAAGGAAGCGGGACAGCGAGGTAGGGGGCCGCCGGCACCTCCCACGCCACTCATGGTCTGCTTGGCCGCCACGTCTTGTTTTCCCAAAATGCACGGTGCGTTCGGGACAGTATCCTATATGTTGCGTTGCATGAAGAGTAAAGGAATTTTTTTTTCCAATTTTATATATTTATGCCCATTTTCTTTTAGCAGAGACCCTTAAATACAACTCAAAATCATTGAAAAGAATTTCTGAAGAAATTAAAACTAACAATTTTTTCAACACTTTTATATTTTTGATCGAATTTAAGACAATACATTCTTTTCAGGCAGAAATGCTACTGGTTTCCAGTTGCAGGCTAAAGCCATCCCCTTGCATTGTTCTGTGGGTCTTTTATTCTTGACCCAGTTCTGTGGGCTGCCCCAGCTGGGCTGGAACCGAACCCGTGGGGTGCCGGCTTAGGCATGGGATGGCTGCCTGGGCCCCCCCCCCGCCCCCCCAAACTCCGGGCTTTCTCTCTGCTCCGCGGGCGTCCAGCGCCAATCTCGCCACCATCGCCCCTACGAAGAGCGGCGTGCTCGCGCACCCGTCGGCAGTCCCAGGGAACCCGTGATCACATCACGTCCGTCCAGCGGCACCATAAATTCCTTTCTCGATTTCCTTGACAACGACCAAGTTGCGTAAACACCTGCTCTCTGTGTTTATTCATTAATTTGCTTGTTTACTCTCTGGTGTTCCTGCCGCAGTCCATAGAGGACGTCACGTTTTTCCAGCACCTGAAATTTATGGGACTGTTATATCCCCAAACCCACCCCCTCCCACTGAAGGTAGCCGTGGTCCCCAGAGGGAGTTGGGCCTTTGGACTTTTTCCACTCTTGGATGACATGCAGTCGGCATGGAAACGCATCTTTTGTCGCCTCCTGGTTGGAGAGCAGCAGACGGGGTCCTGGGCAATAGGTCAGGGGATAAGGCAGAGTGACAGCGTCCCTCACCATTCCTGATCATCTCGCTCAGTGTTAGCATGTGAGCGCACAGCTAATAGCCCGATAGCGGGTGCCTGTGCTGGTCCGACGGCTCTGCGTCTGGCTCATGCTCAGCTTCCAAACATGTTTTCACACATACAGTATGAGTTTGAGTAACCCAGTGCCGATGGGGTCTTCATCTGAGCCCATACAGTGGGGCTGCATCTCGAGGCATCTTCTTCTTGGTCTTCTATCCAAAGGAGTAAACCAACAAAACCAGAATAAAATTACTTAAATGTTAGTGATAGCTGACGAATTAATTAATAACTAATGAAGGAGCAGTAGCCAGAGTGTGGCAGCCCTTGGCGTCTGACCGATCGATCTGTACATCCTGTGAGAGAGAGGGAAACGCATGGATCCCCCAAGGAAGAGAAGAGCTTTTGGACGAAGCTGTCGCTAAGACTAGCCGCTGTCTGGGGCAACAATAACAACTGAATGGTGAATCCAGACAAACATTCAGTCAATGCAACAGCATCCATCTTTCATTCTGTGTTGTATCCACCAATCCATCCCGCTATCATCCAGCCTCTTATCGAATTGACATGGTGAGGCTGGAGCCTATTCCAAGTCACGCAGGGTTGAGTAAACTCTGGGTGGGATGGCAGTCCATTGTAGAGCTGTAGTTATTTTATCATCAGATATGGTTTCATGTTGTATGTTTTCATGGGTGGTGTGTAGTTCTGCAGGTTATGTGTTTTGGCTGGATCCAGAAGATCATGGCTTCAAACCCTTCAGCTGATAGTAGTAATAGTAGTAATAATCTTGCTACACTGTTGAGCTCTTGAGGAAGGAGTCAGTGCTCCAGAGAGCTTGAATGACAGAGCACTTCATTACCAAGCCTTATCTGGTTTGGCTCTCGTTGGACAAAAGCACTTTCCAAATAAAATGGAGGTGGGATGTAAATAAAATTGTCGCTTGGAGGTTTTTTTTTTTTCCCGTTTTTCCCCCCCCCCCCCCCC